TTGCATCATGCGTCACGGCTCATTTTATAGCTCATGACATCAAACTGCTCAACTTGATAGATTTGGGCTAGACTTTTGACATATCCTAAATCTTTGTCTGACGTTCGATTGAAGCTATAGTGTTCACAAAAAGTTCTTTCAATGAACTAGCTAATGATGCTAGTTTTACTTTCAAACTATTTCATATCAAAGAGTTGGACATTCAAATGCAAACTAATCACATTTCACACTAATTCAGAACCATGGCGTCCAAAACTCTATCTAAGTGCCAAAAGCTCAACCAAACATGTGGACCATACTCAATAGACTTAAGATAACCTGCAACAAACCATGGCAATCACAAACCACACATAACTCATTTTCAACCTTCAACCCCTTAATTTCAAAAACAATAAGGGGAGGCATTTAACATCAAGTTTGAGCATAATCATTTACAATCATCATGCAATCATTATCATACTGGTACTGATATTTTGGCCCTGCCCAAATAACTCTAATTACATATCATATAACCTAGGACCTAAAATACAAACTTTCAACTAAACATGCTATTAGTGCAAGTACATCTCAAAATATATAATTTCTAGCTGGCAATATCCAATTAAATTACGCATATTTAAATCAAAATTAATAGGCCTATAGTAGGAAAACAAGTTCCTATTCTTGACCTAGTGCTTTCCCTTTATCCTATCTAGAGCTAGTACTTGTAAAATAGTAAGGAGAGATATGAGTATAACCACTCAATAACTAAAATAGTCTAATATATAAACATGCAAGTTAATTTATCATAAAAAATGCAAAGCTAGCAATTATGGATAATTCACATTCACATTCATAATAATACAATCACAATCTTATCAACCATGTGACAATTATCAATAATATGCATGATCAATAACCTCCCTTACCACCTCCAATTAAAATCGTGGGTTATCAAATCAAATAAGGATATTGGACTAACTTAAGCTCACCAATTGTGAGGAGTTACCAATCCAAAAGTTACTACATTCACTCTCAAATCATGATTTCTCCCATTCTTAAATCCTTGTGGTGTCATTAACCTTAGACTAATCTCCTCAAAGACCAAGTTAGATTTGAATCCTCGACAAATAGTAGGATAGTCCTTTGACAAATATTGGGACAACTGGCTAGCATTCAATTATCAAAAGACAGTTGTACCATATAGATTTATAACTACTCTTATTCTAAGACGAACTCTTGCCAATTATGATCATGCAATAAATAGGCTTAACACACATAGCATGGCATTCATTATTATGCCATGCTCAAAGTATTCAACATACCATATACCTCACTCACATCATTATAATCTCATCACATAATCTAATTCATACCCATTATATTTACAACTCAACATAGAATTGCCACTTACATATCAAATGCCATTCATCACTTTAAACATTATAATTCTTTATCATAGAATCTTATCTAGTATCATATTACTCAAAAATCATTTCAACTATTAATTTCAAAGCCACAGTTGCCTTTTATCTTAAAAAAAAAAGAAATGCACACAAAATTAAATTTCTTCCGATTACCTCAACCCTTTAAGAAGTCAAAGGTTATCTTTCAATCGCAATTATCCAAGCTAATTCTGAGATCAAATGATGCACCAAGTGATTAGTTTATAATTAAAAATACTATTCATCATTAATATCACTAATTATATGCCTCCAACTTCCATTTTCAACACTTGAACCACTCATAAATCACAACCCCTTGTGTTTAATCACAACCATTAGTATATTAATTTTAATTAGCTCCATTTAACTTCATTACACTCAACTAAAATTAATGGTTTTCAACAACCTCAACCATCATCATAAATATTCATTTTTGTCCATAAATAAGACCACTCTCATGGACGCATTAAACAATCATGTTTATGTTTAGATAACTTAAATAACTCTCATTAGTTCCATTTAAGCTAATGAGTTCAAACCTAAAGCCCCATAGGTCCAAAAATCAACTCAACATAGCAAACTCTAATTCAAATACTAAATAGAGAAGAAGAGGAAGGAAAGATAAAGGTTAAGGAACTTACTAGAAGAGATTAAGGGCTCTAAATTGCTCCTAAATGGCTGCACAAACAATCCCTAATAGAGCAAGACACAAGCCCCTTCTTCCTTCTCTAAATTCTTCTTTTGTTTTTTGAACGAACGACTGTCTCATTTAATGAAAAAATTGACTATCTACCACAATACATAAGCCTTTTGCCCCGATGGTAGGTATAAAGAAGGTAGCCCATGTTTTAGTCATGTTTTAGTTCTCTAATTGGGGTCAAACAATTTAATAATATTTCGGACTCAATCCAAAGGCTATAGGCAAAGCCTAATAAGTCTATTAGCCCTTTCTAACTATTCTCAAATCCTAATACAATTAAATTTTCCTAATTATCCTCTATTAAGTTAAGTAGTTTGAGAATTAATTTCTGGGATGTTGCAGTAATAAAATTTTTTACTTAAAAATCATAACCCTATGTTGAATCATGCACCAACATAACTTATTAATTAATATTAATCGCAAGGGTTATTTATAATAAATTTTCATTGAAAGTAATGCCATTTTAATATATATAGTTTTCTTAAAATAACATTTTTACATGTGACACCTTTTAATTTTATAACTTTCCAAAGGTGTCTTTAGAAATGAGGTAGATATGATTTTGTTAATTATAACTCCTACACAACCCTTCATAAAAATTCTTTAATTTATAAAGATATGGTTTTTCAAAAAATATCTCTTCATTTTGAAAATATTCAATAATTTCCTACCATTTTCAAAATGATTTTAAAATCTTATATCACATCAAAAGTATCATGTTTTCAGTAAAGATTTCGAAAAGATTTGACCCTTTACTTAGCAAGACATGATTTCACCCATTTAAAATAATATAGTTGACAAAGCTTTGAATTAATTATTTTATGTGAACAAGTGTGCATGACTTACGCATAACATCTCGAACTATTGCATGCCATACTAAAATTGACACTTTTACTTGGTATTGTGTCTATATATATCATTTTCATGGGAGTTTTAAGACCTGTTAAAGTGAAATATAACCATTCGAGAGTACAAAATGTTTTGAAATTAAATTTCAGGACCATGTTCTTTTTCTATAATTTTAAAAATAATAGTTTGACTAAAAAATCTAAGCACCATAGTCCCTGATCCATCATGCAATTCAAGTAGATATGTCAGTTCGAATTTCAACCCCGTGCTCCTCGTCCACCACCGCTCTCTCTTTCACCATTACTTGCTTCTCGGCAAGGATGGAACCAGGTTTATGTTGAGCGGGGGCTTTTTTTTTTTTTTTAATTATACTCTTTTCATTAAAAAATATAAAATATTTTTAATTAAATTATACCTCTTAATAAGTTAATTAGTTGTTTTTAAATTGATATTATCCTTTCATGTTTATCCTTATTTAATAATATGAAAAAATCATCCTAAGATCTTACATAAGCCTCGTTTAACCTGTTTTATTGAAACTAAAAAATATATTAGTTATTAACTTTATATAAAAATTTAATAAGTTTCTAATTTCATCCTCATTAAATATGCTTATTTTTATTATTGGTATCATTAAATATGCAGGCTTTAATAGCATACTTCTCTCACTGATATTTACTCCTTCTATTTAAAAATGTATGACATTTTTAATTAAATCTGACCCTCTAATAAAATAGTTAATTATCTTCAAACTAACATTATCTTTTCATATTTTCCTTTATTTAATATAGTATTTTACTTTAAAATAAATATAAAATAATTTATTTATTATGAACATTTTTAGAAATACAAAATAATTACACCTTGAAACACTAAAAATGGCTTACATATTTTAATATCTAAATGTTTAAAAAATATTTTATATTTTTGAATAAGAAAAGTAATGAAAGATAAAAAATAAAATTTATAATAAAAATGTTAATGACATGATTTATAAACAAAATAAAAACCTATTTTCTCTATCTTATAAGTAAAAGAAGAAGGAATATTATATAAGTGTGCACTTCTTTTGTTTTTGTAGAGGGAGGGGGTTGATGTTTTTCATGGGACTAAATATTTTGAGACCCATATCACATATGAAAACGTGTGGAGTTTTGTTTGTTTGTTTGTTTTTGTTTTTGTCCAGTCTTCCTTCACCGTATTGGCCTTTACTCTTCTCCCTTCCTCCGTTTCTATAACTCATTCTCTCTTCTTCCTCCATTCCTAAGTTGTCGGTCGCTGATCACTGGCCAACATGATCACATTCGTCATTGATAGATCCACATTGTCAATCCTTTCTTTGCCATCGCTTTCTATCTCTAACCTTTTCCTTTGATGTTGGCTCTTGCAGCTTCTTTTTAGGTCGGCATGTAGTTTTTTTTTATCCATTATCCTTCATGTTTTCAAACTTCCCTCCCCCCCCCCTCCCATTACTGACAGGTATCTTTTAATTGGAAATAATTTTATTTAAAATATAATTGATATTAAATATGAGCATATTAAAAAACTAGTCTCTTCAATTAAATCCAACATTCATTGATAATATTTTAGGGAGTGGTGCTTTATTTAATTAGTGAAACCTTTAATTCCAGATTTTATTGTAAATTGATTCAATTTTTTTAACTAATTGAATAAAGCGCCTTTCTTTTCTTCATATATTCCTTTGATTTAGTGTTTATTTGTTTTAAATAAATAATTCAGCTTCTGGTGGCCATTGAAACAGTTCCATGGGCAAGAATGATGAGGATAAAGTTAATTCTTGATTGATGCACTATATTTCACTTTACATTCTGTGTCCTTATTTGTGATTTTCCGTGTAGATATTGTCACTTTTCTCTGTAAGCATGTGCTAGGAGACAAATCAGACAATGAGAAAGCTAGGGCAGTTATGTAATTTCAAAATTCCTACGCTAATAATTAAATTAAATTAATATTTTACGAGCTCCATGCCCACGTCATAAATCGCCTGCTTCTACTTTACTCGTCTCAGTTACATTTTCGCTCTGCTTCCTGGCTCCTCCCTTCCCACTTCGCTTCACATCAATCCCACCTCTCTCACTCACTCTCCAAAATCGAGAATCGAGAACATATACGGAGAGTAGGTGGGTGAGTGTTTCGTCTTCGAACACAGAAGATAACAACTTGCATCTTAAGTGGTGAAAATGTTGCAGCCGAAATCTGTAGGTGTGGTTGTATTCTTGTGGTTACTAGCTTGGTCTCCAATGGCGGAATCGGCGATAGGTGTGAACTGGGGCACGATTTCATCTCACAGGTTGAAGCCATCTACGGTGGTGGATCTCTTGAAAGACAACAAGATCCCGAAAGTGAAGCTGTTTGAAGCGGAGCCTGATGTTCTTAAGGCTCTTATGGGAAGTGGGATTCAGATCATGGTTGGAATCCCAAATGAGATGTTGTCTCTCTTGGGCTCTTCCCCTTCTGCTGCTGATTTGTGGGTTCGCCAGAATGTTTCGTCGTTTATCGGTAAAGGTGGTGCGGATATCAGGTTGGTCTCATCTCTGTGGTTCTCGATTCTCATTTAGTTTCCGTTTTGTTTCCTGAGAAAGTGAAAATTCCATGCTATCTTGGTTCATTATGTTTAGCTGCTTTATCAAAGACTATCTTCTGGGGTAATAGTATTTACTATTGAGATCGTAGAAGCACCAGAGTACATTTTCACAACTAGCTTGTAGGATAGATATCTGTGTGGTATTTCCGAAAGTATCTTTTCTTGTTGCAAATTTCTATGTTTTATGTTTAATTTTTTATTTGTGATGACTTGAGAGCTGATGGAGCCGGTGGCCGTCCTTACTAAAGAAAGTTTCTTTAGTTGTTTGAAACCCTCAAAATCACATGTTCCTCTGACCTAAATGTTGGTCTGTGCTAAAACATATTATATTTAATTGAATATTCTGAGGATCCGTGGATTAAGCAGACAGTAAAATATTTTGGACGAGTATTTTACTATCTTCTTTTATTTTAATTTCTGGACTTTGAATTCTCAATTTAATTCGATATAACTGGAAAATTATAACGATTTAATGATTCAGAGATAGTATACTCCATCAAGAAGCATAACGTAGGTAAGGAACTTGCTCTCTCTTTTGATATTATTTCTATAAGCTGTGATTTTTTTCCCCAACTTATTACCTGCAGAATTTCTCCCAAGAATGAAGCTGTTTTCATGTCATGTGGCAAACCAAAAAAAAAAAATCTATTTACTGAGTTTGCCTTAAGAATATTTTGTGAACCAACTTTTCCTTTTGAACACTTGGCTTGATTGAACTTCTAATGGTTATATCCTAGATGGCTTGGAGAATATATCCTTCCCTAAACATCATATTTTCTAAAATAAACTTTATTTAGTATCTTTAGCATCTAAATATTTTAATTTAATTTCTCTACTTTTGATTGAGCCAATGTTGTGTTGCCTATCAACATTTAGAAAAATAAAATTCAGTAAAAACTTATGTTTTGCTAACATTCTTGGTTGTGATCTGAGCCACATGAACTCACTAGATGACATGTAATTAGGTGACATCGCTCAACTTTACATGGCTTTGGGAGAAAAATAGATTCCATAATTGCCTATAATCCAACAACGTTGTGTTATAAATCACTTCTTCATACGCGAGTTAAATGAAATATCATTAGCTTTTGTCATCATAGGAACAAAATGAGATGGAATGACTTGATTGCATTATTTTTAAATGTTTGGAAGGATCAAATTAAGACATTTACAGTTCTAGAGGAACCGAAAATGTGTTTAGTAGAAGCTCTGAGCTCAATTGATAGTGCCATTGTTGTGGTCTGTACCTATAGAGTCTTTTAATTATCCACAGGCCTCTGAATTTTCTTTTTACTGGTGACAGATATGTTGCTGTTGGAAATGAGCCATTTCTGACAAGTTATAACGGTCAATTTCAGAACTTGGTCATGCCTGCAATGCTCAATCTACAGCAGTCTTTAGTTAAAGCTAATCTTGCAGGTTATGTAAAACTAGTGGTACCCTGCAATGCAGATGCCTATGAGGCTACACTTCCTTCTCAAGGCACGTTCCGTCCTGAACTGACCCAAATTATGACTCAACTTGTTCAGTTTCTTAATGCAAATGGTTCCCCATTTGTAGTAAACATCTACCCATTTTTAAGCCTTTATGATAATGCTGATTTTCCCCAAGACTATGCATTCTTTGAAGGAACTACTCATCCAGTCACCGATGGCACCAGCCTCTACACCAATGCATTCGATGGAAACTATGACACTTTAGTTTCTGCCCTCAATAAACTTGGATATGGTCAAATGCCGATAGTAATTGGGGAAATTGGCTGGCCCTCGGATGGAGCTATTGGTGCAAATATTACTGCAGCAAGGGTTTTCAACCAAGGTCTCATAAAGCATATTATGAGTAACAAAGGGACTCCCTTAAGGCCAGGTGCCCCTCCCATGGATGTTTATATATTCAGTCTGCTTGATGAAGGCGCGAAAAGCACACTTCCTGGAAACTTTGAAAGACATTGGGGGATTTTCTCCTTTGATGGGCAGGCTAAGTATCCACTAAACCTTGGTCTTGGAAACAAGGAATTGAAGAATGCTAAGAATGTTGAGTACCTGCCCTCTAGATGGTGTGTTGCCACTCCCTCGACCGATCTGACAAATGTAGTGAACCACATGAGAATTGCCTGTAGTGTTGCAGACTGCACGACACTTAATTATGGGGGTTCGTGCAATGGGATAGGGGAGAAGGGTAACATCTCATATGCTTTCAATAGTTACTATCAGCTGCAAATGCAAGATTCGCGAAGCTGTGATTTCGATGGCCTTGGTATGGTCACTTTCCTGGACCCATCAGTTGGGGATTGCCGTTTTCTTGTGGGAGTCACGGATAAAGGCTCAAATTCATCTTGTTCTGAAACAGCAATACACTGGTATGCCCTACTGTTATTTTTTATCCTGCAATGGATGCTCTCTTTTTCTATGTAATCAAGAGGTTTCGTAAGTGGGTTTTTCATGGTCCCCTCTTCTGAAACTATTAGAACTTAGGATAGGTGAGATTCATATACTAATAGTTGATACCAGAAATATTTAAAGGCATTCTTGATATATTGTAGTCCAGCTTGTGATGTGATTGAGAAATTGTATCATGAGAGATGGTGTAGTCACTGTATTTATGAGGACATATTGTCATCATTCAATATCTCCTTCCTAGTGTAATACATATTACCTTAATCCTAGATCCAGTATTCCAATGTAATTAGACATTGATTTTAGTATCCCAGCCCACAAGCAGGGCATGAAGATGGAAGATCATTAAATATAATAAATTACATTCTCAATTGGGGCCCTAAGCCAACCGTTAATTTTATAGATTAAATGTGTAAATTACCACAGTTCTATCTTACAGCAATATCATTAATATATCATAATAAAGTAGAATGGATTGGAACCATTGGAGGTTAACTCAGATTGTAAGATAGAAAAATGGATGTGTTTTTCACACTACTACTCTTACAAACACGCCAGAGACTAGTAATAAATTTATCTACCTGAATCAGACCAAGTTTTAACTTATTTTTGTCGTATTTACAAGGTATACACTAAATGCCATTTATTCCTTTCCTTTAGAGAAAATTAATCAAACACATGTTAAGCTGCAATGATGATTCCCTCAAAGGTACATCAAATAGTATAAAATTTTAGGAGAATTGGAGTCTTCTGTGGATTCAGGTTCAGGATTTAGGTAACCCCGATAAAAAATAAAGAAATAAAAAGAAAAAGAATAGATTGGTTTTCCTGTAAAATTATTGTTCATTTGCTATTCATTTTGCTTGATATGGTTGCAGATATAAATTTTAATATTCACTGGATGGATTGTTCTTTCTTTTTAGGCCATCATGGGATTGATTGTCTAGCTGTACATAGAAGAGGAAAATTGATAATTTGCATTCATAAATTAAGTGAAAATAGTAAAGTTAAAGAGAAATAGATATAAAGTGAAAGAGGGTAAGAAAAGATAATCGAGTTATCATACGCGTCTTCACTTTTTTTTTCCCCCACCTTCCCTTTCCTGTCACTCTCTTTCTTATAAATGATCGTATTGGGGAACAACAAACTTTTATGTGGCAAAGTAATGCCTTTTCTATGAGCTTTTCATGACCAATGCACAAGATATTAATAACCAATACCGAGGATAAAAAGTGTTAAAGCCTTGAAGGCTTAAAGCATGTGGTCGAGAACCTAAACAGGAATAAGGAATTTTTCCTTTTTTTTTTTTTTGTTTTGTCACCAGAGGTCCTGGAAGCCTTGGTAATTATAATGTTGGGGCATAGCGATTGGAGGATTAAATTGTCTGTAATGAAGTAATTTAATTTATTTAACCTGCAATAGTCTTTTCGTTTAAGGGTTGGATCATTATCTCATTTGACAAACGCATGACAAAAAGCAGCATCATATAGGTATATTTTGTTAGATAGAGAGGCGCAACAAAATATTAAATTTTTGAACCCCTATCTCCATGTAAACCAAATGAATTCGTTTAAGTTAAGGTGGATAGAAAAGTTACATTCTGAATTTCAAATTCTCATGTGCATTCTCTTTAGAAGTTTGGATCTCAGGAGCTGACAATGTAGATTTGCTTTCTCCGCTGATATTTACACGAACAACTCTCTAACTTGAATAATGTGCTAGCATTCTCAATATCCTTTTGTATTTGAATGTCAATTTATTTTTTCTCAGGGTGTTTCGTGGCTCTCAAAGTGTTTGGCCGTTAGAACTTTTCTAACTTTCTAAAAACTCATTAAGCATGTTCCTTTTCTATCTTATTTTTAAACTAGGGTTTTACTTTCCTTTAATGAGACAACGCAAATGTCAGATTAAATTTATTTCATAAATAAAATTTATAATATTATATCTAATTTAAATTTATCTTATAAATTCAAATTATAGAATTGATATAATATTCTCTCATATCATATTAGTTATTAAATTTAATCTATCATATAAAATTAAATTTAAAACTAACATAATAATATAATATTTGTATATTAGATACACACACACACACAAAATAATATACATATATATTTCAAATATATATATATAATTATACTTTGAATTTTATAGTTCATATATATATATATATAATTCATTCACCATATAATACATTCATTAAATTTAGATATATTTTAAATTCAATAAACTTGGACTTACAGCTCAATTAGGCTGTTCTTGCGTCGACCTTGTAAGCCTATATGAAGTTGAAAGTGGACTAATTACACTATTAGCTCACAAGTCACAAGTGGCCTCTAGTATGATATTGTAATTACCTAATTCATATGGGGATCAATAATTCGATACAACCTATCATATAATTGTATCACATCTCTTTTGTCACGTGATATTTCGGTCAAGTACGAAACATGAAATTGTCATTCTTCTTTATCCAATCATTACTTTCTCGATCTTTGTGTGGACTAACACAATAATGGAAAAACCTTTTCGACTATAGTATGGTCATACATTTTATTAGTCTTACTCATCAAGGGGCCTACTAATATCTCTCAATTAATGTGAGAGACAAATTTCACATTAATCATTTATATTCCTCTGCATGAATATCATTAAACTTAATTATAGCCTTTATGATCACTCGGTCAAAAGTATTTTTGACTAGATCAAAGTTCAGTGATTATCATATAGGAATTCATGATGATCTCAGGTCAAAGGGCTTAGTAATATGGTTACATATGAGATAAACTTATGACTTATATCATGCAGCCTTCTCATAGTGGGTTGGTCCAGCATCTTGTACTCTTTCAAATGCCTACAATTTAATTTATATCTCTATAATTAATTAAAGTCATACTAGTCTTGTTTCACCTTTGATCCCTCATAGATGACTGACTAGGAACATTTAGAACAATCACTATAGTTTATCCAAAGATACAGTTATTATAGTGAATATGCAATTAATATGATAACAAAAGAAAAATTCTATAAATAACCATATTAATAGTACAATGATTAGCTCTACGGCACAATTTTTAACATATCTGTCCTATTCAAGTTATCATGTCCATTTTTAACTTTCCATTTAGTAGTCTACTTCAAAAGTAAAACATTATTAGTGTTAAATAATTTATACTGTTGATGAGTATTTGGTTTAACTGGTTAAGAAAGTTAAATCAATTTATCCTTCAATCTCGAGTTCACTTAATAATCTATTGAAATTTAATCCAATAGGATAATTACAAATGAGAAGCAAAAGGAAGTTGCATTTATCCATGATAGCTGCACATTTATAAAAGAGAGAATTTCAATTAAGGACTAGAGATGTGACTTAATTACTAGTGAATTTTACATAACAAATGAAGAGTACTTTTGCTTATCACCATTGAAATTATTTTTATTTCAATTCTCCTAAATTGAACTGAAATTTTAAATTTTTTTTATGGATCCACTAGTAATTAAATAACATCCCTATTCCTTTATTGAAATTCTCCCTTTATGTAATAGATCAGCTTGATGACTAACTTTAACATAAATAATTGACTTTAACTTGACAGAATCTCAACATTTTTGTTTTCAATATCCTATTAGGGATTATAAAGCCATCTACATGTATGCCAATATTTTTTTATCAGCAAAAAAGAATTTACAATTAATAATAAAGTTAAGAGTTCTTTTTGTCCCTAAACTATACACGAAAGGTTACAAATATTTTTAAACTTAAACTATGGGTCAATTCTGTCCCTCAACTTTAAAGATTCTCTTCATTATCGCCTTACTGTTTTCTCACAGTTAATTGATCGTTAGTGGGCCCTACATTATATTTTTTAATATTTTTTAATTATAAAATATTTGAGTTGAGGGGAGAAATTAACCATTCGAATAGAAGTTGAGGGAAAAAATAACCTTTAACCTAATAAAAATATTAAAAAATTGTATGACCCATTGATGACTAACAGATGTTAATTATTTTTAATGTTAAGGTAATGACAAAGGAATCTTTAAAGTTGAAGGATAGAATTGACCTGTAGTTGAGTTTAAGAAGATTTGTGATTTTTCATGTATAATTCAAGGACAAATATAACTCTTAACCCATAATAATAATACCCAAGATCGTAGAGCTCCATTGTCATTGTCAAGTGACTAATTTTCATTCTAGATAGCGAAATGGCAGCCATTGTATCATCAATAAGCTCTGGCCTTGTGGAATCCGTTAGCTTCTCCATTAGAGCTGCTCGCAAGGGTCACCATTCCAACCCATTATATCATGAACGCTAAGTGACTCTTTCAATGCTTTCATGGCAATTACTACAAAAGCAAGTTCCAAGTTAATAATAGGGTTAATGTACAATTTTGTCCTTAAACTATTTATGGACGAGCAATATTGCCCTTAAATTATTTAATGTAACAATGTAGCCCCTAAACTAATTAAACTGAAGCAATGTTGCCCCCGTCATTCAAAACCCAAAAAGTCTGTTATTTGAAGCAAGTAGGTCTTATTTAGTTGGCACACGTGATAGTGATCAGAACACTTGTAGAACAATTCTCACCCATACTCTATATCCTCGATCCTTCTGCTTTACATTGCAAACACACCCACCCTATTGCCACCTTAGCTCTTCACTTGAACCCTAAGTGCCATCGTCCAACACCACTAGCCATTGTGCATTCATATTAGGTTGTCATCCAAACATTAGGGTTAGTCACAGTAGTTGCAAGTCAACCTCAACGAGACCATTATGTCTGAGGCCTTACACTCCAGCTTGGATTCACAAGCCTTACACTCCAGCTTGGATTCACAACTAGCAACTCGATATCCGCATGACTTGCCCTGCTCGCCTCTTTAGTGGCTCTGTCAATTAGAGTGATGCTGTGCTCCACAGTTGCGTTGGTGTTGGCGGTGGGAGCGTTAATGATGAGGCAACCGAACTCAATAGCAGTATTCAGATTGACACTATTGATCCCCACACCAGCTCTTCCCACAAGCTTCAAACTTTCGTTTCCCGCTTCAAGCACTTGCCTTGTAACCTTTGTCTTGCTTCTCACAATCAAAGCATCACATGATGCAATCTTCAAGCACAATTCTTTAGGTGAGAGATCGTAGGTGCATTACACTTATTCGAGCTCCCACAAAACTTGGAGCCTTGCCTCTTCGAGCTTCTCGGTGATCAAGACAGTGGGTCTCGGAACCAAATCATGATGACAAAGAAGAGGATTCCAAATCCTCAGAGGTAGAAGCAGAGGATGTGTGCACTATCTTCAAGGCATTGTTAATGAAGAATGAAAGTTGAGAATAAGATCATGAAAGAAAGAGCTTGAACTTGTTGATAAAGTGAAAGCAATAGGAAAGGAAGGTTTGATTGAAGAAGCAAGTGCAGCACTCACGATACCTCCATGGGCAATCATGACAATGGATTCTTTCAAGGACCGAAAGAAGCACCAGCTAAAGCAAGGGTTTAAGGGCAAAATTGGTCAAACTTCTTACTCTCTCACCAACTTAACAATCAAACGTTTGGATTTTAAATGATAGGAGCATCATTACTCTAGTTTAATTAGTTAAGGGTTACATTGGTTGGTTTAAAAGCAATGTTGCTTATTTGAGAATAGTTTAAAAATAAAATTGTACATTGATCCATAATAATAAACTAGCTACAGTAGATCTTTAGGTTTGGTCTTCAATCATCAAAATCTTAACCATGCCTCTCCTTTCTTAGTGTTAGCATCAACCGTAATTATTATTACTGAAAAAGATGAACTGTTTCAGTTTTTCTTCCTTATTATTTTTTCATCAATGTAGCAATCACTACAAACAATTTTTCAGATTCCAAAAGAAGAAACAAAAATTAGTTTCCTTTCTAAGAATACGTAGCTTAAATTTACAAGGACTTAGGGAGTAAATGTCTCTAAATTTATTTATGCTATGTTTTGATGCATATATATTTAGGCAAAATTTTTTATTTGCATATTTAAAAATTTATGATCCAAATTCAAATTTTATCTCAATTCATTTATAATTTAAAATAGTTTTTAAATCCTTGCTATTTCAAATCTCTACATGTGTCCCTCGAAACACTACCTAATAATGATAATTTTTGTTATTTAAATTACTTAGACATAGAATTTTAAATACATGAATTTAAAATATGATATTTTAAATTTAATTTTCAAATCCAAGTTTACTAATTCAATCACAATCTTAAGGCACCTTGATCAAGGACAGTGGAAGGATCGTTAAATGTGAGAAAGTAGCGGCCGTCGAGCAGAGACGGAACTACATAGCAATTGTTCTTGTCGTAGGAGACACGGAACAAGTGAAGATTCTTCTCGTAGACTTGAACGCAAAAGATGTCTAGTTTGAATACGGAACACTGACGACGTCTTGAAGGTTGATGGTAAGGGGAAAAGAGAACTTGTCTAAAAAAATGTATTTATGACCAATTGTACATGGAACTAGTTAAAAAAAAATTCTTCTACTCACATCTGCTATTTTCAAAAATGTCACTGTACTTATTCTTTAAACTAGCCATGCAACAATTGATCTAAAAAGGGCGGTTTAAATAACCCTATTTCTACAAGGGATAAATAGTTTGATCTCCGAGGCATATTTGTCAGTCGAGTCAAGCCTTTGGTTTAGGTAACTTTCTCCCTGCTCTACTCATCTCCCTTGAAAAATATGAAAGCAATCCAAAGTGAGATATAAAATCTTAACAACCACTGTGACAACTTACAATGTATCCAAGTATGGTTTACAGCCCAATCAAGTGAAATGGAAAAAAGATAGACATTATACATATTATAAATGATATCTCAAAACAACTCCATTTGAATCATTACAAAATATCATTAAGAAATTTAATGAAACTAGGAAGTTATCTATATCATATATGTCATAAGTTTTTAACATTATAAATTGTTTGATCTAAAGCAAAGTTAATTCTCAATCGATTTCTTTAAAATCATTTTAGAATGCTAACAGTACGACTCAAACATTCCATGCATAGTTTATCAAAAGTGATCTTAGTCATGCCAGCCATCCAATCACATACATATTCTTCCATGTTATCATTGATTGAGAACCGTGGGTTACATAAAAGCTGGATATTAATTCATGTAACTAGATATCCAAGCTCTCAAGTTAAGATATGTAACTTGATCAAAGGTTATAAAATTTCGGGTCAATTGTGATATCTATTCAATAATTTAAGAGGTGTTAAGTGTCAAATTCATCTCTTAACTCAATTACAAATAACAAATTTTTTTTTTTTAAATGGATGAATATAAATACACCCAACACACGCCGACACACTTACATTTTCTCCTATAAAAAAGAATGACCCTTACTTCAAATGAAAGAGTAACACATTCACCCATCATGCTCTCACACACCCAAATTATACAGGGGATAGAACTCACAACTTGTTTCTTTTAAAGAGATGTGAGGTGCACCATTAAGCCACGTGATCAATAAGAGAATGCCTTAACAGCAAAAGCATCAACCCCATGACCAATTAGCTAGGAAGATGTGGTTATGATAAGAACATTGCCTTATTACCACTCAAGTATTAACTTCATAACATTCACTTCCCAAGACAACTCAATCTGAAAACACACGCGCGCAATAACCCCTTGTACAATCTTATCTCACAAACAATTTATATTCAATCCTCATCACAAGCAGTACTGAATTCAATCGTTCTCACATGGCCCATTCTAATATGCGATTCTGATTACATAAACAACTATGATTCTTAATACAAAATAGCTTTCCGATATTCATATACATAATTGTACTTCAAAACTTATTTACAGTGAAAGCACTTAGAACTTCAGCGCAATACCATGATTTTTTGGGTGCTTAGTGTAGAATGACTTCTTTCCAGGGATTTGGGAGTAATTTCCCCCTTTTCTTTCACCTCTGGTGAATGCCCAAATGAATCAATCACGGTGAAGAATCACTTGGCAAGGCATCGTCCCGCGTCAACTAGATTGCAATGGAGCTGAAGTGGTCAGATTTGTAACTAGAATCGAGAACCGTTGATATAGTTGCTGATCTTTACAGTAATCTCACCTAACTTCCATGGAAAAGTAAATGCGCATAAATATTGCGAACTGCCTCCGAACCATTTTCGAAGTTATCTTTTTTCTTTTTTTTTAAATAAAAGTGTTTCATAAATTCACAGGGAATTACTGACTGATCTTTGCAAACATTGCGCTTTTTGGAAGTTATCTCGTTGAGCTACATTACCACATCATAGTTCAGAATTTTCTGTTCTGAGGTTGGCTCAAAAAAACAAAAAATAGTTCTGAGGAAAAATCGTCGTTACCGTTGTCTATTGGCTCTGTTTGTCGTATTTCAGTGAAATTTAGTGCAAAGGAGATAATTAGATGCTGACATTACACGCTCCAATGGCAACGCCATCGCGGCTTCTATCGGTTTCCCGAAGGGCTTTTTCTGCTGCTTTGAAAAGTGAACGTGGGGTTTCCATGGTTCAAGGAGCTTCCAGAGGAATAGGTCTTGAATTTGTGAGTTTTTCCTTCTTGTCGATTTTTCTTCTTGGCATTTTCTGGTTTTACTTGCTTTCATTGTAGGACCGAGGGCTTTTTCTTGAACTTTTTGCTATGATTAGACTGTACCATGGAGCACCACTTCCGTTGAATCTTGCAACAGTTACATATTAAGTTATGGCCTAGAAGTGGAGAAATGAAAATAAGGCTACATTTAGTTAGAAGAGCGAGCATAGTTTGTGACATGATAGTGGATGCGAATAATTTGTGACATTCTTTAAATTTTTAGTTTATAAAATCATCAGAGTCTGAAGATGAACTAAATCATCATTACATTGACATTCTGATTAGCTTGTCGTGGGTGAACATCACAAGACCTAGAATTTTGGAAAGATAAAACAAATTGTAGAAGGGAGGAACCTGCCTCTGTTCATTATGGACAATGAAGGTTGAAATTTGATATATTAAAATATATTTTCAGGATAATTTCTCAAGTTATCATATTTTACTCTGTAATTACTCCCAAATCTCCTGAAATGTAACAAGCCTTTTGTCATTGTCAATTGTGCTATGCTGGCTCAGCTCTGCAACTGCGTCCCGTTCAATTTTGTACTATTTCTGCAGTTTCCTTTTACTAATTAAAGTATGTAGTTTGTTCTTGTGTATGGAATAGTTAGTGTGTAATGGAATGGATCAAATCATTTTATTGAAATGGTTTTCTGGTCTTAACCATGTTTTCAGTTACCGCCTGACACAGGTAAAACAGCTACTAGAGAATGATGATAAAGGGCATGTCATTGCTACCTGCCGTAATCCTAATGGGTCAACTGGGCTTGTCAATCTGAAAGACAAATTTGCTGAACGTTTAAGAATATTACAGTTGGATTTGACCTTTGAAAGCTCAATTGAGGTCATGCTTTCCCCTTCATTGTTCCCTTTCTGTCGTTCACAGATAGAAGCTTGTATTCAGACACCAAAAGGGAGGTTATTAATCTTTTTAGTTATTTCGGTTCCCATATCCTATTTACATTAGCTGCCATCAGTAGAAGTAATGTAATTCACATTCGGCCAGGAGTTACAATTAGAGCATGTGCATTCCATCTTTTTTCAATTTACTCTTTTCTGGTAAGATGCACTTTGGATTATCTATTTAACCTGTGATGTTTTATTTTCATAGTTTATGTGTTTTTTAAATTATTCATGTCATGAAACTCTTGTCGTGTCCATTTAGGTTAGGAATGTGTATAAAAGAGATATCTTCAAACAATGAGTTTGTCACAATTTGGTAGAAAATAATTCAATATATAATATTTATTCTTTTTAATTTACTCTTTTCTGGTAAGGTGCTCTTTTTGTGGTTGTTCAATGAACTTTGGATTATCTATTTAACCTGTGATGTTTCATTTTCCTTGTTTATGCACTTTTTAAGTTATTCATCTTATGAAACTATTGTCCTGTGCATTTAGGCTAGGAATGTGTATAAAAGAGATATCTTCTAATATTCTTTCTTTTATGGGCATTCTGATGATTTGTTGCTTCTGTTAGACATGAATTATTCCTAAACTTATATGTTTTTAATGTATGGTCCATCATTTTTAAAGGCAACTGCAAGGGCAATAAAGGAGACATATGGCCATCTAAACCTTCTGATCAATGCATCTGGCATTCTGTCTATACCAGAAGTATTACAGCCAGGTAAAGATTTTGCTAGGCTTTGGTAATAACTAATAACCTTTCTCCTCTGGATATTCTAACACACAGCGCAGTATTCTTTTTCTTCTCAATGTTGTATTATATTCAATTCATACGCTGAGTGTTGAAACGAGGGGGGACAACTAACAGGAGAAAGAGAAGGATGAATCAACCAAACAGGCGTCCAAGAAAATTAAATTGGACAGTTTTTGTTGGAAACCAAGTTTTAAAGACTAAATGTTCATTTTTCCTTTACAGAAACAACGTTGAGCAAAGTGGAGAAGTCATCTTTGATGCTTGCTTACGAGGTTAATGCTGTAGGTCCTATCTTAGTGATTAAGGTAATACCCGTGCAATCTTCATTATTGGACTTCTCATACCAAATATCAAAATTGAAATTGTAATAAAATTTGGACTTCTCTGTATATCTTTCATATAGTGGAAACTAAAAACCATCTTTCTCGTGTTCTCCCCCTCCTCTCCCTTTTGTGGGGTCAGAAGAGAGGGATTCGAAGATGAGAATGATAAAAGACAATCAGAATTCTTATATTTTAAAATATGTATCAGCAATCAACAAATTCTTTAAATTCCTCAAACTCTAGAGGCTATTCGGTCTGTCCACAAGAGATGCACCTGTGTTTCACTTTCTGTGATGACTGCGGGTGGTCATAATTATGTTACATGAATATACTATTTGCATATTTAGTGTGTCCTTAAGAATTTCTTCGGGAAAAGCCAATACTGAGGTTTTTTTGCTTGTAATTTGAATTATATTTTTTTTTTGGACATGGTCAACTAGTGTCGCTTTGTCCATATATAGTGATTGATGATGCCACCTATTTGTGCTACTCGTTAAAATGTCAGAAGGCTTGCTCGTTTAAAGTTATGGTCAATTAGTGATGATAATAATGACAAGTTTTGCCATCCTGGTGTCATTTTAAAGAAAAGTATTATATGTAAACAGTTTCAATAGGTTTGCTAGCATTATGACAATTCAAAAAGTCTCTTCATTTATTCTATGCCATCTTTTTCGCATTCACGGTATTCAGTTCTATTTGATTTTAATGATTAGATTCCTTTTTCCCCCCCATTTCCAGAATAAAGGCAGGCTAATATCTTCAATTTGCTCATGCACTTATCACTTGATTTCATTGCTTTGCTTGATGCTCTAGCTCAATACCCTTGCACTAATGAGATCATGCAAGATATTCGAAAAGATACTACTTCTCAACCAGATTTCTAGATTGTTTATCATAAATTATTCTATGAGGGTTGTTTAGTCATTCCTCACTTATTTGAGTAATGCAATAAGCTACTAGCTTAGGCACATGATATTGACTATAGAAAATCACAAAAGGCTTTCTCAAGACTTGAAATCTATGACAATTTTTTTAGGTCCTGAATGAAACAGGACATAAAACATTTCTTTTTGCAATATTTGATGTCAACTAACAATTATAAAATACTTGCTCTGCTGGCCTCTTGCATCCATTTCCTATTCCACATTTATGAGAAGATGTCGTCATTAATGTCGAGGGGTTTTTGACTTTGTATTGGTGGTGGTTGATGGCTTGAGCAATGCAGTCATTTTAGCCTTGTCACAGTGAAATAAATGGCTGGAATCTATGGCAAGGAAATTATTCATCTTAATGGAATGCTCTGTTCTACACTTTAGATAGAGACTTCATTTTCTGAATGCCTTCTAGCAAGATGCGTTTCATCTAAGCTTGACTTGCCTTCATAAACACTTCTTACCATTGACTAGCTGATGGGCACTTCTTACTATAACTAAAGAAGAATATCCAATGTAGATTATACAGTTTGTTCTGTATTAATGTGAAAATGATTGAGGTGGTATTACTTTATCCAAGCGCTGCCTAACTGTATGTCATGGATTAAATTGTATCCTTAATTAGTAAAACATTATCTTATCACAGAGAGGGTCTCTCCTTGCGTTGTCCAAAAATTAGTTTGAGAAGAATGTTGCATTTAGATTTATATAATTTATTCTGATTTATAATTATCTTTTGATTCTCTTTTATTTCATGAATAGATAGTTTTTTTTTTTAATTCCTGTGATTTTTTGAATCAGCACATGTGGCCTCTCCTAAAAGTTGGAGGAGGCTTTGGGACTGAAAGAAGTGTTGCGGTGGTGGCTAGTTTGAGTGCACGGGTTGGATCTATTGGGGACAATCGCCTAGGAGGTTGGCACTCTTATCGGTCTTCAAAGGCTGCTCTTAATCAATGTATGACTCTTTCCATACACTCTGTTTTGGAGATTAAAATGAGATATGTGCAATCAATGCCTACGATCTTTGTTTCCTTATGTTTAGTTCATAATTGGCTGGCATCTGATTTTTCTGTTCATTTGATGGTACTTCCATATGATACACTGGGCTTGTAGGATTAACTGGTTGTAGTTTTTTTTTTTTTTTTAATCTTTTTATGCATGGGTAGAAACATGTGATTGCTGTAAATGATAGTAGCATTTTAACGATGATCCCATACTTAATAGTATATTTACTCCCTCCAGTCCTAAATATTGAAGCCAGTTAATTATTTATATTGGAGTATTATCAACATAGCTTATAAACCATGCAAGAATATAACTGCTGCGGTAATTTGGAGAAAAAAATAATAAAGCTAAGAGACAAAGAAAATCGGGATCTTACATTTAAGATGAAAACAAACCCCTCAACTAGCTCCGATATTTAGCACTAGAGGGAGTTGAGTACTTTGTTTGAAAGACGCACATGATGATCATTTTTTATTATTAAAATAACTGCTTTTAGTTTTTCATTTTGCATTCTTTTTCTTTCCATTTATTGTACCAAGCAGCTCCTTAGGTGATAATATATTACCATGTTACTGTTTAGCTCGTGTGTTTCCTCTTTAAGGCATCATACTCGATTTGAAAATGATAGATGTATTACCTCAGGAACCACATTTTGGTAGTTTCCTTGATCCAGTTCTGTCCTCCATTAGTGCAATCTATCAATGGCTGGTATTTTTGTTTTGACAAATGTAAAAGAAAGTTTTTGAAAAACTCAAGTATGTGGTACTGGACTATGAACATATTCACTTGTAATGCTCTGTTTAAAGAAGCTAATAATGATCATTTAAAAACTGTATCTGACTTGCTTAGATTAAAATTGTTGTATATGGAAAGGCAAGCTTAGACCAAAGAGAACATTTATAGTAGTTGTTGAATGAGATTTCTTGGTTAACAATATTCCTAAAACATTGATTGATGATAGAACATAATGGTGTTATACAATTCATGTAACAGACTTCAGCTAGTGGGATAAAGCTAGTTGTTAGTTGCATGGAAAGGCAAACTTTTGTGACATTTTTCCCCCCTTGATACTTTCAGTAACAAAGACTATTTCAGTGGAATTTGCAAGAAAGAAGGATCCAATTGCATGCATTCTTTTGCACCCTGGGACAGTTGACACAGATCTTTCTAAGCCATTTCAAAGGAATGTTCCCGATGACAAACTCTTCACCAAAGAGTTCTCAGCTCAAAAGCTCCTAAGTATCATCAACAATGTCAAGAGGCATGACAATGGCAAGTTCTTTGCTTGGGACGGTCAGGAAATTCCTTGGTAAACCGTCATATTTTTCCACATGTAAGCATTATAATATTCCTTGGACATAATTTCTTATAGCAATAGTTTTACGAGAAAATTAATTTGCATGTCCTTATAATTTTTTTTTAATTTTGAATTAAGTCCTAGTAATTTATTTTATTTTCATTAAGCTTTTATAGTTTGATCATTAAATATACTAATCCTTGAAAGTTAAAATTATTAATGAATGATTAACTTTTAGGGAAAAAAACACGTTAAAAATTTTTAGAAAATTTGATTTGATATTTTGGTCAAAAAGGAAAAAGAAAATTTGTTTTGATACAATGTTTACATTTTTATTAAATATTTTATAAAATTCTATGTGTATAAAAATTATTTAGAAAACATAGCATAATTATATAAAATATGAGTAATAAAAATTAGGCTAAAATATACATTTAATCACTTAACTTAACACTAGGTTTTATTTTAATCCTCTAATTTTATAAAGTATTTTTTTCAATTCTTTAATCTTAACGTCATTATTTTCTTTACAAAAAGTTTTCACATTAAACTTTTAATATTGATAAAATATTCTCAAATGTTGATATATTAAATTTAATTTTAAAAAAATTGGCAAAAAAATAATTAATTAAAACTAATAATGTTAGAGTTAGATGATTAAAAATATATTTTATAAAATTAAGAAAAAAATTAAAACTTTATATAAAATTATTAAGTAAAAAATACATTTTAGCCTAAAAATTTTATAATTAATTTTAAATTTATATAATTTTGTAATAAATGTATAAAAGTTCTTAATTTCATTAAGGAAAAATTTAAATATTTTAATTTTTAATTAACATATTTAATCAGGTAAATTATAAGAGCTTGAATAAAATAAATCATAAAAACTTAATTTAAAATTGAGAGAAACTCTAAGAATCTTGCAGATTATTTCATAGTTTTACAAACTTGTACAACTAAGGTTTATGGCAGATTCAATCCCAATTTATTATTAAAATTCAAATATGTTTAACTTATCCTGTTTCTTGAGAATGGTGTGTTAGTTAGAGCTCTAGAGTTTCTAATATCCTGACTGCTTGGTGCATAGATATAAAATAAAATGAAGAAATTAGAGAATATATAAGATAAAATATATGTTCACATAATATAAGTGAAATGACAAATCTCATGATATTGTTGTAGTAATGTCGGTATTAGCAAAATTAGATAGCACCTAATCCTACAAATTTCGGAAGAGGAATGTCGCACCCGCATTCGTTTTCCATTCTTGTTTATTCTTTTTGGGAACATTTCTTTTTACTACTTTTTTAGTACTATCAAAGTTTATGTGAGTTGTGTCTCTTAGAGACACTACACTGGGCAAGAGCATGTTTTTAGATTAAAAAATACTTATATGAATACTTACATATTGCTCATTACCAATGTCTAAGCACAATTGTGGAGACTTGTATAATTTTTAATCCATATTAATGTCGAGACTCTACAAATCTCTCACACAAAATTAATTATTTGTGCTTGTGGAGCTTGCAAAACCTCACATGATATAAAATTCCCCTTAATTTTTTAATTTACAACAAAAATAGATTTAAAATTATAAAAATCAAGCACCTTGAATGATATGCTTTGTAGTACCTAAGTTTTACCATATATTTTCAACACCATCTACCATGGGAATAAAAAAGGAGAACCAATAAAAGCAATTATCATGGTAGAAAAACTTTAAACTTGATTAACAAAAATTAATCTTGATAGAAATTGATTAACCCAAGATATAAAGACTGCCATGATAAAAAATAGCTTACAGTAGTAATAACACGAACCTGCTGCAAGGATATTCCAAATATACCACACTGATATAAAGTTGTCCATCACATAATTGCAGCATCCACATAATAATATACTCACTCTGGTCTTATTTATAAGGCAGAGAAAAAAAAATTTTTTAATCCTATTCATAAGTCACGTCGTTAAATTTTTATTATAAATTTTTTTTACCTTCCATTAAATGTTGGAAAAGAAAATATGTTATCGAATTGTGTATATTTAATAGGAATAAAATTAAAAAATTATTAAATCTTAAGACAAAGTTAATAAGTTTTAAGATTTTTTTAATACTGATAAAACATGTTAGAAGTGACTTATAAATTAAATCAGAGGAGTATTTAACTAGTCATGCAATATCAAGACATAATAGTTATACAAATAGTGTATCAGAGTATAAAATGCATGGGAGTTGTAAACTAGCATTCGCACAAAATATAATACAAAATAAAGACATGACACTTGAGTCTTGAGGCATTACAATCAAACCACCTCAAGTCTCAACCTGCTTCCCCTTTCGCCCCGTTCGATCTTTTGCTTGAAATTGTTAAATACCATATAATGAGATCGAAAACTCCCAATAACTACAGAATAATTTACTTACTTTGTGCAATAAAATGTTTTTTTATTTTTTACATTTGTTGGATTCAGTATAAAAAGTATATTTTCTACATCAGTTTTTGTACGAGTTTCACAAACCAGTTTAAAATGTTAATTTAATTAATATAAAAAGTCCTTTATGTAGTTGTGATAAATAAGCATAGGTCCAGAATATTAAAATCCAAGATATAGAAGGTGTTATGCTAGTGCTACAAATAAAGGAGCAACGTGACACCATTTTAAGAGGACAGAGCGAGCAACGTAGGCGTCATGTTACGAAAGGCTTCATTTGGTTTCACCTTCGTTGTTGGTTATTTGTATAATGCCAACAAAAGAAATTGTTGAATTTTATTTGCTTTTATAATTGTTTACATAGGAGTTTTGTTGGCAGTTCATGTACAAAAGAATTTCTTTTTTCTTTTAATTTGATGGTTATTTTGCAAGCACTCTCCCTTACAATATAAATCTAACCTATACTTTCTAACAAAAATTCAATGCTAAAAAATAGTTTATATGTAATGTCCCTATATAACTGATATTTTAAAAGCCATTGTGTCGAAGATGTGAAATGACTGTTCTTCTTTTCTTCTTTTTGTTTTTTTTTTTTTTTTTTTTTGCCAAAAGATGTGAAATTGACTTTAAAAGACTATATAAAGGTTATTTTAATTAACCGTTACATAGTCTTAGTTTTTTTAAAAAAAATTAGAGACTATATAATAGTATATTGTTTACAAACAAATGCTAGTCTCTAAAGTTATATAGTGGTTATTTTAAGTAACCTTTTTATATATATATATATATATATTTATTTATTTATTTATTTATTATTTTTTAAAATTTTTAATCTGTAAAACTATATACAGTTGTTTATAAAAAAAACTCAATTTTCAATTTTCTACAAGAGCAAATTCCAAAACCCAAATGTATACTAGAATTGGACACCCAATAGCATAAGAACAAATAAACTCATTAAACATTGAAGCATCCATAAAAAAACCTATCTACAAAGCATAAAAGTTCTTAAAATCCCTGAGGCTATGCTTGGTTTAAGGAAATGGGAGGAAAATGCTCTCATATTATCATGTTTGATTTTGTTGGGAGGAAGGGAGAGGAGAGGTTTTCAATAATTTTTTGTTTGATTGAAGGGAGAAAAGGAGGAAAAATATTAATTTACTATTCATATATATGTTAGCTTTTTTTTTTTTTAATTTCATCTTAAATAAATTAATTTACACTAAAAAAAATTCTACAATGGACAAGTAAATAGCTTTTCATAGCAGTATCTCTTGGAAAAAAAAAAAAGGGTGATTCCAATGGCTCCCATTGGTCGCAACTGGAAAGTGAGTTAGAAAGTGTGCAATGGTGCTGGAGGATTCTCAAGACTTACGGAAATTGAGAAACATGACTCGCTCTTTTGTCACAATTTGTTCTCCTGTCAATCGCACTTTTCTCAATGTCTTATGAAATGGAGGAGATATTAATTATATGCTTTTATTTATTACTATTATGATATTAATTTTAATATTATTAAAAGTAAAATGGAAAATTATTGTTATTGTATATAATTTTAATTAAATAACAAATTTTTAGTAGTATATGAGATTTGATTAAAAACCTTTTATATGTAGGGATAGAAGGAGTATTGTACTAATTGGATGCCAGATCTGTTAACCCAAAAAAAAAAAAAGGATGCCGGATATGAACAGTAAACACAATTTAAAAAACAATATAGAAGGAAATTGAAAATTGATCTATCAGAATATGAGATATTGTTTTTAATTGGACATTGGATTTGATTTTTTTTAATATGAGATTTTTGATTAAACTAATGTAATTTTATTGAATAGAGTATGAATGAGTTTATATTCTTGTCTTTCCTTCGGATAGATGACCTCTGTGTAACATCTTAATATTTTTTTTAAAAAAATAATTTAACTCAATCATGGTAAAAAAATGTCTATCATGATAAACAGAAGTCAACTTATCCTATATTTTTTTAAAATAATTTTATAATTTAAACACTATCATAGTAGAAAAAGATTAAACCCTTTTTTAAATAATACAAAATAATTTTATACAACTAATATACATTTACAACCATAGTTGGGTTACAACCACCCAACACATTTTATATCAATAAATTTAATATAAAACATTTTATAATTGGCTTAAACTTACACAATACAACATCTCAGATAAATTTTTACTTCCTACATGCCATTAGGCTAAAACCACATTTTTCATCCTTACACTCCTAACAAGTGTAAACCATAAACCAATAATTAACAACTTAATCAATTTCTAAAACAAGCCAATTATTTGATCTCATAATCATGTCATTTTAAACCATCCAAAATAAATCAGAGATCAAAGTTACAATCATTCAAAGTGTACCGAAAATAAAAATAGTTTAAAGTGCATGATTATATCATTACATTTATATAATTGTCAATAAACAAAAGCCTTAGTATTGGCAATATAACACATTAAAAATTATAAATCAAATATCCAAAAGAGACAGTGGATCTATGTCACTAAACCTCAGAGATTCCTCCACGCGTCACTCGTGGCTCTTCTCTTAAAAATTGTTAATCACATAATGAGACTCAAAAGTTTCATTAACCAATGCGAATTTATGATAATGTATTCAAATAGTTAAATATGTGCTTG